CTAATTCAGCAACTGAGGCACCAGAACAGGACTGATTCAGGACATTCTCTGTTAATCAATATAAGAAGACTTTTCAGCCTCAGATGCCTGGTTACGTTTGCCCTAGGTTTCCAGATTGCTTGTGGTGAATAATAATTGGCAAAATGATGCTATGCTTCTGTATGTTTGTGAATAATTGGGGAGATAATTCGATATTGGCTTAGAACTTAATCAACATCTTATTACTGTATTTTGTGGCATAAACCAAAACTGAGGCATGGATTGTAAATTTGACTTCGAAGTTGGGCAAACTTAGTGTGGTACTGCTTGGTCCTTAATATATATATATATATATATATATATATATTTTAGGGAAATGGCATTTTAACTATTTGTGGTTTGGGATTGGTGCAGATAAAGGCATAAGATTTTAAAATATGTATATAATATACTTATAGTTTGAGATAAGTATATATAAAGAGTTGATATCTAAAAATGTGCACATACGTACAGGAGGATTATATTAAGTGCACATAATTATTTAAAGTTATATAAAGTATTCTAAATGCTTTTAATTCTCTTTTCTTTTCATTCTCTTGAAGTTAGGGACTTTAAAGGATTCTAAGAAATTTCATGTAGTTATTTACATCTAGTGCAAATTTTAAGTATTTATGTATACTATCTGAAATCTTGAGTATTTCTTTATACATGTTTAAAATTATAAATTTGTTTTGTATACATTTTAAAATCTCAAATTTATTATGTACACATTTTAAAATCTTAAGTTTTTATGTGTATTTATCCTTCACCACAAGTGCCTAAATTACAAATCTCTTCCCTTTTTTTCTTTGTTTCTTTTTTTTCTTGATCTTAGGTTGCACAATTGGTAATAACCATCATATATTATGTAACTTTAATTTAAAAATTCTTATTTTTATTGAAAGAAATTTATTAATGAACTACTTAACTTGTTATCTTTACTGGAATAATTTTAAAATTCAATCCTTGAAAATAATTTTGCAAATCTCCTTGTATCTTTTCATTTGGACGTGCAATCTTGTGAGATACATAGAGTATCCACAATTAATTTTTAAATCCAACTCTTCTGAGATATTTAAATATGGCATTACCATTCCTATCCAAATTTAAGTATAGGATTTTCTAACAATGTTTTTGAAAGTACATTTGACGCACCTTTTATTATTAATATATATTTAAAAAATAAAAATTAAACTTAATTTTATTAATTATTTAATTAAAAACATTCACATGTCATAAGTTTTGAAATTTATATTATTTTTTATTTTTATAAAAATTAATACATAAAGGATTTTTAATCTATATTTTAAAAGTATAATAAATATATATTTTTGTCATAAATTTATATTGTGAAAATAAAAATTGATTTTTAATTTATTAATTATTTAATTAAA